AGATAGTCTGTCTGTTACCACAATTACCTGCCTAAGAACTAGATGTGTATCCAACAGTGAGTAAAAGGCTGGCGAGGCCTGGGCACCGGTAGAAGTCCTTTCCCTTGCAGTGGGCTTTCCGCCTGGCCCCCAATATTTCCAAATTATTATTTCTTGTCTCATCTCTTTTATTTGCATGCGGCCCCTTCTCCAGATCCCGAACCCTGCACCTCGTGGGACGTGGGTCTTCACAGACATAACCCTGCTTCTCTGTAGAGCAGATGACAGCCCCATGTACCTGCTGTGGCTGACCCCTCCTGAGAAATGCTGGAGGTCTGAGGGGTGGGGTGACTACCTGTGCCCTGCTTGTGCTGAGGGCATCGCCATCAGACCTGAAAGTCACTCCCACCTCATGCTATTCCTTCTGGCCAGCATAGGGTTGACACAATGGGAACAGAAATGAGCATCTGTCAGCATTTCAACCCCCCTAATTCACTAACACCCTCAGTGCCTGGAGGGCGGAGGTCTGCTGCTTCCTGACCCTATTAAAGGTTGCAGCCACCACAGTGGTTCCTTCTCGAGCCTTTACAGATGTTCCCTCCTATTGATGACACCTCTGGAGCAATGAAGACTAAGTTATGAAATTAGTTTCCTGAACAACATTATGCTGCACAATATGATCTGACTGGAATGGAAAGGGAGATCAGACACAATGCCTTTCTACCTTATGAAATGCTCGTAAGTCATTTGTGTTCGGGCAAAACAGGACTCAAAATCACAGGAGAAATTAGAAGGCTTTACTCAACTGCCACCCCCCACCCCTTTACCCCTGCCCTGCCTCTGCTAAGGTTATTACTTTTGGAAAGAACTGGGGGAAAACAAATACAAACTAACTAACCATAAGAAAATGTTTTTTTTTAAAAATATATTTTATTGATTTTTTACAGAGAGTAAGGGAGAGGGTTAGAGAGTTAGAAACATCGATGAGAGAGAAACATCGACCAGCTGCCTCCTGCACACCTCCTACTGGGGATGTGCCCGCAATCAAGGTACATGCCCTTGACTGGAATCAAACCTGGGACCCTTGAGTCCGCAGGCTGACACTCTATCCACTGAGCCAAACCGGTTTGGCAAAATGTTGTTTTTCTTCTAATATTTATTACATTTTTTTAAAAAAATATATACTTTATTGATTTTTTACAGAGAGGAAGGGAGAGGGATAGGGAGTTAGAAACATCGATGAGAGAGAAACATCGATCAGCTGCCTCCTGCACACTCTCCAATGGGGATGTGCCCACAACCAAGGTACATGCCCTTGACTGGAATCGAACCCGGGACCCTTGAGTCCGCTCTATCCACTGAGCCAAACCGGTCAGGGCTATTTATTACATTTTAATATTTGTTTAGTTCAATAATTGATATAAAATGTAGTAAGTGCCTATTTCTCTCCCAATTTTTTTTTTTTAGGAGGCAACCAAAATTTTTGGTGGCCTAAAATAAATAAATAAAATAAATAAATAGATTTTGCTGAAGGGGCTCACTCTGGTCCAGGCCTCAGGTCTTGATTGGAGGAACCAAGATGGCGGCATAGGTTAACGCTGGAGTTTGCTGCCTCGAACAATCACTTCAAAAATACAACTAAAAGATGGAACGGACATCATCCAGAACCACAGGAAAGCTGGCTGAGTGGAAGTTCTACAACTAGGAGGAAAGAGGAAACCATACGAGACTCAGAGGAGGCGCAGTGCTGAAGTGAAATACTAAGGTGCGGAGTGCATGTGGAGCGGACCGGCAGCGGTTGAGGATGCGGTTGTTTTTTTCAATCGGGAGGGAGTTTCAGACTCTGAGCTCCAGATCCGGGCGAATCTCTACAGACCCAGACTCAAACAAGAGAAGCGGGAAGGCAGCTTTCTCTCCGAGGTTTGCAGCGGTTGCAGAGCCGCTGGGGACGGAACTGAGAGCAGCCATATAACTGCTCGCTCCGCCCCGCCCTGTAGATCCCCTGGGACCCGCCCCGCCCAGTCCCTGCCCAGGGGCATTTGCCGGATAGCCTCAGGCAAAGGCTAGATTAGCACCGCCCTAGAGATCCAGCACAGAAGCGCTAGCACTGCAGACACAGCTGACTCTCACAGCCAGTTAGCCTGGAGGTCAATTTACCTCCAGTATTGCCGACAACAATCAAGGCTTAACTACAACAAGACTGCCCACAAAGACCGCAAGGGGGTGCACCAAGAAAGCATAAAAAATGCAGAGACAATGAAACATGACAGAAATGGAGGATATAGAGGTAAGAAACGCACTTTCAAGGTCTCTCAATAATCTTCTAGAAACTGCCGATAAACTTGATGAGAGCCTCAAGAAATCTAATGAGACCCTCGATGTTGTGATAAAGAGCCAACTAGAAATTAAGCATACAATGACTGAAATAAAGAATATTATACAGACACCCAACAGACAGACCAGAGGAGCGCAAGAATCAAGTCAAAGATTTGAAATGCGAAGAAGCAAAAACATCCAACCAGAAAAGCAAAATGAAAAAAGAATCTGAAAATACGAAGATAGTGTAAGGAGCCTCTGGGACAGCTTCATGCGTACAAACATCAGAATTATAGGGGTGCCAGAAGAAGAGAGAGAGCAAGATATTGAAAACCTATTTGAAGAAATAATGACAGAAAACTTCCCCCACCTGGTGAAAGAAATAGACTTACAGGTCCAGGAAGCGCGGAGAACCCCAAACAAAAGGAATCCAAAGAGGACCACACCAAGACACATCATAATTAAAATGCCAAGAGCAAAAGACAAAGAGAGAATCTTAAAATCAGCAAGAGAAAGACAGTCAATTACCTACAAGGGAACACCCATACAACTGTCAGCTGATTTCTCAAAAGAAACTTTGCAGGCCAGAAGGGAATGGCAAGAAATATTCAAAGTGATGAATACCAAGAACCTACAACCAAGATTACTTTATCCAGCAAAGCTATCATTCAGAAGTGAAGGTCAGATAAAGAGCTTCACAGATAAGAAAAAGCTAAAGGAGTTCATCACCACCAAACCAGTATTATACGAAATGCTGAAAGGTATCCTTTAAGAAGAGGAAGAAGAAGAAAAAGGTAAAGATACAAATTATGAACAACAAACATGCATCTATCAACAAGTGAATCTAAAAATCAAGTGAATAAATAATCTGATGATCAGAATGAACTGGTGATTATAATAGAACCAGGGACATAGAAAGGGAATGGACTGACTATTCTTGGGGGGGAAAGGGGTATGGGAGATACGGGAAGAGACTGGTCAAATATCGTGCACCTATGGATGAGGACAGTGGGTGGGGAGTGAGGGCGGAGGGTGGGGCGGGAACTGAGAGTAGGGGAGTTATGGGGGGGAAAAAAGAGGAACAAATGTAATAATCTGAATAATAAAGATTTAATTAAAAAAATAAAATAAATTTAGTAAGTAAATGAGGATACAAATAGTTCGTTTTCATATTTTAAAATCAGTGTATTATATTTCACCAATTCTAATATTCATATTTTCCTCATTTAACACTTTTTAAATCAGGAAGCATCTTATAATTAAATATAACTATGCCAATTATGGCTTTTTTTTCAATTGGAGGGCGTCTTTGATTTGATAAATTTAGCATATAGTATAGATCTCTAAAGGACACTAAAGTAAGTATATTGACTTCAATTTCCCCCAGATTTTCTTATGGGCACAATTTTTTCCTATCATGGCTGATTTCAAAGCTTTTAGTGTTTTTTTTTCTCAAGTCTCAGTATCCTGGATAGTTTGATATGTATTCTACAGCAACAGAATTCTAAGTAAATATCCACCTAACCCAAAAGAACCAGTCTAACCCACGACATTAGAAGAATGAGAAATGGTGGTGGGTGAGGGGAAAGGGATGGCTATCATGTCTAGAGTAGCATTTTCCTCCCTATCCTTCCTAGACACACTCCACCACTTCTTTGTTTTATTTTCTCAGTAGTACTTATAACTATTTGGCATTATCTTGTTTACTTATTTGAGCACTTCTTCCGCTAGGGATCTGTCCATGACAGCAGTGCTTCCTTCTTCTTGTTCATTAGGTATTTTACACACCTAAAACATGCCTGGCATTGAGTGAACTTCTTCCCAGAAAAACAATGCTATTTTTTGAGAAAATATTTTGAGTCAGGACAATGATCTATACTAATAAAAGGGTAATATGCTAATTAGACCAGACATCCTTCCGGACAAAGCCATGGTGCCAAGGCAGAGGCGGTTAGAGGCGATCAGGCTGGCAGAGGAGAGCAGTTAGGGGTGACCAGACCGGCAGGGGAGAGCGGTTCGGAGTGACCAGGCCAGCAGGCAGAGTGGTTAGGGGTGATCAGGCAGGCAGGCAGGTGAGTGGTTAGGAGGCAGCAGTCCTGAATTGTGAGAGAGATGTCTGACTGCCAGTTTAGGACACCCCCCGAGGGGTCCCGGATTGGAGAGGGTGCAGGCCAGGCTGAGGGACCCCCGCCTTGTGCAGGAATTTTGTGCACCAGGCCTCCAGTAAACATATAAATGCCTTAAGACACAATTCCAAGTTGGTTGTCTTCCTCCAGAAATTAAGTGCTTAGGTGCTACCTTATTCCAGGAGTCAAAGATGGGTTTTTATCTCATTCTACTCCTGTTGAAGACTTTTGGGAACATTCGCATTCTAGTTTTTGCTTAAGGATAGTATGAAAAGACTTTGGAATGGGAATGAAGGGTAAACATGCTTGAAAAGTACTGAATCAAGAAACAGCACCCCCCTTTTTTTTTGCATCTTCAATTGGATGCAACCTTCCAATAAGTCATTGTTTCCCTTTAGCCACAAGGAATCTTCTACATTTTTACACACAATACCGATTTCACATCTATCCAGACTTTAAGGAATTTCCAATCTGGATATTTAAAAGGATATGAGGACATTTAAATAAAAGGATAGCCACAAATCCAGAAGCCCAATAGCGTATTTAGCATGAGTAGGTTCTTCTAAAAGTCATACTCACTGCTTCTTGAAGTAATCACCCACTGCCTGATAATTTGCAGTCTGAAAAAATGTCATGAGCTGAAAAAGAAAGTAAAAAAGTTTTTGTAAAGCAGGAAAATTGGGGATGGGGAAAATGGATACTTTCAAGACAGATTTAAATCTTTCTTTAGGTGGGAAAAATAATATATTTAGCGTTCTTAAATTTTTCTTTACTATCTTAGAAACTCCAGCTATGTACACATTAGATTCACTGTTACATTTTCCTTTTAATTTTATGTTAAAATAGCCTTTTTATTTCTATTGCTTCTCTCTCCCTCTTCCTTTGACTTTTGTCATTACAATCTTAGTTTTATTTATGTCGTGAGCATAGACTTTTCACTTTTCTGGTTTTTGCTAACCTTGTTTCTGGACCATTTTATTTTTTCCCTGATGGTTTTAAGTGATTACAGATATCATCTTGTCTGTAATTTCTGAGACTCTGAGGAATTATTTGCCTGAACCTTTCCTCTGTAGTTTTTGAGTCATTTAAAAGAAATGTCCATTTGCTATTTGCATAAGTTCTTGCTATTTGATTCCATGTTTCATCTTAATTTTCAGTATTTCAAAAGGTTGCTATATTCTAAGGTACAGTCATTTACAGAACATATATGATATTAGAGGAAGAAAATGATAAGCCTCACATTTTTAAAGTATGGTAATTACATCCCTAGATCCTTAAACTTTTTTTTCTTATACTTTTATATGTATTTATATATAAACACACACACACACACACACACACACACACACACACACACACAGTAGTTCCTTTCCTTGAACATGGAACTTGATTTATTTTTCATGTAATGACTTTCACAACCTTCAACTTTATCACAAAAGGTTTTAGATTTGCCCTAACCGGTTTGGCTCAGTGGATAGAGCGTTGACCTGCAGACTCAAAGGTCCCAGGTTCGATTCTGCTCAATGGCATGTACCTGGGTTGCCGGCACAGCCCCAGTAGGGAGTGTGCAGGAGGCAGCTGATCAATGTATCTCTCTCATCCATGTTTCTAACTCTCTATCCCGCTCCTTTCCTCTCTGTAAAAAATCAATAAAATATATATTTTAAAAAACATGTATGTTTCTCAACATGTTCCAAGCTAAACCTAGAAGGGAAGTCTGTTTCAAAGAATATTAACATTATGCTTTTACATTTACTAAAATCAAAGGACATTTTAAAATAAAAACTTACCAGGGTTTTAGTGCAGAATCCTGAAGCAATTTCATAGTTAATACTGTATTTCTCTTTTAATAGTTTTGGGCCATAAGGTTCCACAATAATATACAAACCATTATTTTCTGGGTAGACTATTTGAGCCCAACCTGACAGGTTCTCTCCTTTGTCCAAGATGTAAAAAACATGATAAATATTAGTATGAAATGTCACAAAGGGACATTTTTCTTTTGTTTTGAAAGTTATACTTTGTACTTCCAGACTTGTGGGATATTCCTGTACATATAGTGTGCCATTTCCCAAAACATGTACAAAATTTATTTCATTAAATAAATTCCAGAAAAGTGCTGATTTTGTTAAAGTGTTTGTCCATAAAGGTAGCTTCACTGCATCTCTAATATTAATCTTGGAATGAAACAAGATATTATTTTCCATTTTTACCAAGATATTTCCATAGTAATCTGGAAAAAAAGAGAGAAAAGTTTATTATTCTAAGTAACCATAAATCCATGCTCTTTTATTTAAGTGGACTTTTAACCAAAATAATCTTGTTTATAATGACTGAGTATTTATGTACTTTGAGAAAATTAGGGTGTGCAGGCACAAACCTGCAACATCACACAATAACTTCTCTTCCACTTCACAGTACAGTAGGTTTTTCCTGAACACTTTTCTGCTTGCATTCACTATTATCACATATATATCACATCATTTATAGAGAAAAAAAGAGCTTACTAATGTGTATTAAATAATGAGAATGAGCAGGACAAGAATGGCATTATTAGGAAGCATTGTATTATAGACTAAATTATGTCCCCTTCTCAAATGCACAGGTTGAAGTCTTAACTCCCATTGTGACTGTATTTGGAGATGAGTCTTTAAGGAACCGGGCAGAAACACACACACACAAAAAGAGTCTTTAAGGAGGTTATTTAGATTAAATGATAAGGGTGGGGCTCTACTCCTATATGACTGGTGTCCTCATAAGAGAAGGAAAGGCACCAGATGTCTCTCTCCCTCTCCCCCAGCTCTTTCCCTGCATGCACACAGAGGAAAGGCCATATGAGGACACAGTGGGAAGGTGGCTGCCGTCTCCAATCCAGGAAGAGAGTCCTCATCAGAAACCACCTTGATGACACCTTGATCTTGGACTTCTAGCCTCCAGAAGCACAGGAAAATAGATTTCTATTGTTTAAGCCACCTACTCTGTGGTATTTGGGTATGTCAGTCCTAGCAGAATATAATAGGGATGAAGAATGGGGGTGGGGCTGGCACTTCTTCATGTTCACTCTGTAAATAATAACAAGTTTTCTTCCCTTAATAGAGTATTACGTTTAAGTCTTAGAGGTTCATAGACAGTAAGTCTCTTAACCTCTTTGGTTCTATTGCTTTATCTGTAAAACAAACAGTTGATTTCATAGCTTTCTTTTCAGATACAACATTCTTTTTTTTTGAAATATACTTCACTGACTTTTTACAGAGAGGAAGGGGGAGAGATAGGGAGTCAGAAACATCGATGAGAGAGAAACATCGACCAACCGCCTCCTGCACATCTCCCACTGGGTATGTGCCCGCAATCCAGGCACATGCCCTTGACCGGAATCGAACCTGGGATCCCTCAGTCCACAGGCCAATGCTCTATCTACTGAGCCAAACCGGCCTCGGCTACAACATTCTTTGTGGGTCACATTTCTAGGGGTATACTTTCCTTAATTTCCATAAAACAACACCCAGAGAGGACTGGCTGAAAGGAGGAAGGTGAAGTCAGAGCCAGGGAGGTTCAGAGTGTATTGTGCTTCTGCATCTTACATTTGGAAACTGAATAAAAGTGATCTTTTCACAAATTTCCATAAACTACATTCTAATTAAACTCCTAAATCAGCAATGCCAATGTTTTAAAAGATCAGAATACTTGAACATCAATGTCAACATACATTTCCTTATGAAGTTAAGCTCCCATATAGTTATTATGTTCTCAGTAGGAATTTAACAGTATAATAATGTTCCTGAAATTGTTACGTAGACAGGTGAGGTTAATATGAAGCCTGGGATATATTTCAGTGTTTTAGTGAAGCTGCAAGGATAAAATGCTCTCAATGTCAAGGCAACAACACAGGAATCAAACACCAGTGTTTTCATGGTTCTGCCAGTGCGTGTGGGGGGTGGTCAAAGCTGTGGTGCCAAAGTGATTGGGGCAATACCGTGACTACGTAACTTTTCTCAGATAACTGAGATTTCTTTATACATTTAATTTTGTTTTGTTTGCTTTTGGCAAAAAATCCATCCAGATTCTTGGCCTCTTGTGCTTTGTGTATGTTTCTGGAAACTTCACAAGGTGGAAGGGGAGAAAGATGTGGGTGATGACATAACAAAATATATCTCCGTTGAATGAAAAAGGTAATTGCAGGACTCACAAACTGATGACATATAAAATATAAAAATCTCAAAAAAATTCTTTTGCTCTTATGTAATAGTCATGGGGAGGTAAAGTACAGCGTAGGGAATATAGTCAATAATACTGTAATAACTATGTATGGAGCCAGATGGGTACTAGACTTGTGGTGGTCACTTTGTAAGATACAGATGTCTATCACCATGTTGTATACCTCAAGCTAATATTGTATGCCAAGAATAATTGAAAAAGGTTGTGTGTACACTATACTGTAGTTTAGTAGGTATGCAGTAATATTATGTCTAAAAAATATACATACTTTAATTCAAAAATAATTTATTGCTAAAAAATGCCAATCATCATCTGAACCTTCACAAGTTGTGACTTTTTGCTGGGAGAGGTTCTTTCTTTCAATTTTTAAAAAATGCAGTATCTGTGAAGTCTATAAAGAGAAGCACAATAAAACAAGGTACACCTGTACTATGAAGAGGTTTACCCCCTGTCCAGTATTATCCTAAGCATGTTGTATACAATCCCTTCCTTACCTAATTATAATAGCAGTCCTATATTCTAGATCAGAAAACCGAGGCGTGGAAAGTTTAAATGACTTGTTCAGGGCTTCAAATACAGGTCCATTCAACTCTACCTGTTCTACATTGACTTTTGTCCCTACCCCCCCCCCCCCCGCCAAAAAAAAAAAAGACAATGAAGTTCCAACTCTCACTACGACTTCAGAATGTGCTCTTTTTTTGGACATAGGGTCATTACAGCTGTGCTTGGTTAAGACAAGGCCATACTGGAGTAGGGTCCTGTTGTCCTTAAAACAAGATGGCATGTGATGACAAAGGTAGAGATTGGGAATGCCAGACTTCTAGCCTCCAGAGCTAGGAGACAGTACGTTTCTGTTGTATTAAACCACCCAGTTTGTGTAGTTTGTTACAGGAGCCCTAGGAAAAGAATAAAACCGTATCACCTCCTACACTGAAAATGCACATGTAAGTTGCTTATTTTGTATCTGCTGATGGACCAAAACGAACCTCTGAAAAAAAGAACGTGAGTTTGCCATTTTGCTATGTAAGATCATAGTTAATGTTAGTAGAATCTGATACCCATTTTTAGGTGGTAAGAAGTGCACCTTTACCTATCAATATTTAACGTGCATTTAGATTTGCTACATCTTCGTAAGAAAGTCATCTATTACGAAATCAAGACTATTTTTTGCACAATGAGAATGGCTCACCTATAAAAGTGCTATGAATAATACTGTCATGTGATAATTTTGACAGATTCCCAAATTCTGTAGGTGTCTGTAAAACTCCAGTAGTCGTGAAATCGTCATAAAAATAGTAGATCCTGTGTTTGTCCCATACTATTAATTCTGGTATTGCTGAATACAGAAAATATGGAGTTATAACAGTGTCAATCGTGACGTTTAATGAAAAGTCTTTGTGCACCCACTGTTCTGAATCTTCATTATATATCACTAGGTGAATTTTTTTCATGACATTACATGTAATACAGATATTTAACAACAAGCCAAGTTCCAAAGGGTGTGCTGTATACTCAATATTATGTATGGTCAGAGTAGCAGTTGGGATTATATGTAGGATTTCCCCCAGTCTTTTAGTATCTATTATTTTGACAAATTTAAGATGAGCATATCCAAGATAAAATTCATTTTTTGTCCAGATTGCCATGCTGCTTCTTTTATTAGCCTGGAAAGTGGAAAATAGAAAATAATTAGAATATCTTCAATTTTAGGGCTACTTCCAATAATTCCTGTCTTCTAACTTGCTATATTTAAAAGTAAAACATAGCTCTGACCGGTTTGGCTCAGTGGATAGAGCATCGGCCTGCGGACTCAGGGGTCCCGGGTTTGATTCTGGTCAGGGGCGTGTGTGCCTTGATAGCGGGAACATGCTCAGTGGGGAGTGTGCAGGAGGCAGCTGATCCATGTTTCTCTCTCGTTGATGTTTCTGACTCTCTGCCCCTCTCCCTTCCTCTCTGTAAAGAATCAATAAAATATATTTAAAAAATAATAATAAAAGTAAAACATAGTAACTAGAATGGTTTATTTTTTAGTATATTTCTGAAAAATACTTCAAGCACAGAAATACATGGCTTAGAAATAAGTCATCCTATCTAATAATAGACCAACATAGTAATTAACCATACCTCCGCTACACTTCCCATTGGCTAATCAGGGTGATATGCAAATTAACTGCCAACCAAGATGGCAGCAGGCAGCCTCGTAGCTGAAGAGAACAGGAGGCTTGCTTGCTCCAGTGATGGAGGAAGCTAAGGTTCCCCGCCTGCCGCCGCCGGGCTCTGAGCTCGTCTGAGCAACAATGTTGCAATTATAGAAGCTAAACAAACCCAGATATCTGCTTTCAGCCAGCCGGCCTCCGAGCTGGAGCCACAATAAAGTTTCAATTACAGAAGGTAAATAAATCCCAGAATAAAAAAAGAAAAAGAAAAAAGGAGAGACTGGGAGCTTCAGTTGCAGGCTTGGCCCGCCTGAAAACAACCCTCAGCCCCTCATCCAGGCTGGCCAGGCACCCCTGTGGGGACGCCCACCCTAAAGGGGGTGCGGGCAGCCTGAAATCAGCTATCAGCCCCTCATCTAGGCTGACCAGGCACCCCAGTGGGAACCCCAACCCTGAAGGGGGTGTGGGCAGCCTGAAAACAGCCATCAGCCCCTCATCCAGGCTGGCCAGCCACCCAAGCAGGACCCCCACCCTGATCCGGGACACCATTCAGGGCAAACCAGCCGGCCCCCACCCCTGCACCAGGCCTCTATCCTATATAGTTAAAGGGTAATATGAAAACTGACCCTAACAGCAGAAAGACTGGGAATGACTGGTCACTATGACACACACTGACCACCAGGGGGCAGATGCTCAATGCAGGAGCTGCCCTCTGGTGGTCAGTGTGCTCCCACTTGGGGGAGCTCTGCTCAGCCACAAGCCAGGCTGATGGCTGCCAGTACAGCGGTGGTGGTGGGAGCCTCTCCTGCCTCCTCAGTAGCGCTAAGGATGTCCGACTGCAGCTTGGGTCTGCTCCTCGCTGGCAAGTGGACATCCCCTGAGGGCTGCCAGGCTGCCAGAGGGATGTCTGATTGCCATCTTAGGCCCAATCCCCTGGGGATCAGGCCTCAACCAGCAAGTGGTCATCCCCCGAGGAGTCCCAGACTGAGAGAGGGCACAGACCGGGCTGAGGGATTCCCTCCCCCCCCCCCCGAGGGAACAAATTTTTGGGCACTGGGCCTCTAGTATTACAATAAAAAGAAATTATCTTGCCCTAGCCGGTTTGGCTCAGTGGGTAGAGCATCGACCTGCATACCAAAGGGTCCCAGGTTCGATTCCAGTCAAGGGCACATGCCCCGGTTGCGGGCTCGGTCCCCATGGGGAGCATGCAGGAGGCAGCTGATCAATGATTCTCTCTCATCATTGATGTTTCTATCTCTCCTCTTCCATCCTCTCAAATTAATAAAAAAATATTTTAAAAAATTATTCCAGTAATTTTAGTTTTTATCAGTAGAAATAATTAATCTTAATTCCCTTTTAATTCCTCAAAGACTATCGATCTTCTCTTTTCCTATGTATATATTTACTCTGGTCAGGAGTAGCCCTGTGATCTTGCTGTTTACTAAGATCAATCTATAATGACACCTCAAACATTACATTATTTTTTGAATTTTAGCTTCTTTGGGTATTAGATAAAGGGAAGAAAGAAATTAAAACTTTAAACAAATCAATACTTCCCTTTTGTGGACCCAGCCTGTTAGTGAAAAAGGCTATCCAGAGACTACATCTGAAATTCAGTGGTCCTAATTTCATTCAGTGGGCCCTTCTCTAGCTGTTTCTGATTCTTAGGGGTTTTTATATAAAATGTAACTCCTATGTTCATGACCACTACAAGGAGTCTTCTGGGCACATCTTGTCTATACTCAAATAGGCTGTAGAAAGATATCAAACTGGTAACCAAAGAAAGACACTAAGACTATTTGGAGTAAAAAGTATTTTTATCAAATAAAGATTCAACTTAAAGTCTAGAGCTCATGCTGCTGGAAAAGACTGTGAAACAACCTCAACGAGGAAACAGATTGGAAACAAAATGATGAGCCCTTCACAGAAAAGACGCACAGCTATTCTCATTCTTGGCAGAGGGATGGGAAGAGGACTACGCTATAAATATGACAGATGGGAATCCCAGGGAGCCCCAGCCAGGGGATGAGTTTTCACTCACCCACAAACTCTCCTATAGATCTTCACTTAATGCTTGGGTGTAATTCACCAAGGGTCTTGGGGCAAGGCAGGGGAGCTGGGGGATCCCTTTGAAGCATTCAGGGCCTCTTGCAACTATCTATATATATAAAAGCCTAAGACCGGCCCAGACCGCCTGGTAGCTATTACGCACAATGACCACCAGGGGGCAGACACTCAACGCAGGAGTTGCCAAGCTGTGGTGACTTGGCAGCTGTGGTTCTTGGGTGACGCACCTGGAGCTAGAGAGGAGGGAGCCCGATTCCGGGGTGCATCACCCGAGAACCACCCTCTCTAAATCCAGGACCCTTGGGGGTATCAGAGAGCCAGTTTTGGCCCGATCCCTGCAGGCCAGGCTGAAGGACCCTAGTAACACATAACCCTCTGAAGACAGGCAGGGGACAGGCAGCAAAGTGGAGAGAAATCATTTGCATTCTGGATTCTCAGGTTCCTAGGCTGGGAGTGGGATAAGAGAGTGGAGAGAAACTTCCCCTCTGAGACAGGTTTGGCCTTTACCCAAATGGTAAAGCAGTCCCCTGCCAAGACGGGGAGAGGGAAGCAGGAGAGAAAGATAGGGTCTGCCAAGGCACACAAATCCAGGGGCAGATGAGAGAGGAAAGATATCCCTCGGTGATTAAAAAAAAAAAAGCTGACAGCTAGGCTATAAAGCAGAGACAGCGCTCTCATGGTTTGGAATGCTGGTGGCTCAGTTGTAAAGTATGAAGAGATCTCTGGAGTCTTGTCAGTGTTAAGATACGAAGCATGGCTAACAAGAAAATAACCATGATAAAAATGCTGAACTAGCCCTAACCGGTTTGGCTCAGTGGATAGAGCGTCAGCCTGCAGACTCAAGGGTCCCAGGTTCGATTCCGGTCAAGGGCATGTACCTTGGTTGCGGGCATATCCCAAGTAGGAAGTGTGCAAAAGGCAGCTGATCGATGTTTCTAACTCTCTATCCCTCTCCCTTCCTCTCTGTAAAATATCAATTAAATCAATAAAATATATTTTTTTTAAAATGCTGAACTAGTCCGAAAGAGACAACATGAGTGCAGAGATGGGGAATCAGCTGAGACATGTAAATGATAGAAAAGAAGAAAATGGAAATGTTAGAAATAAAAAATATGTTATCAGGAATGAGTACATTATTAGATAAATTTAAGAGTGATCTGGGAAAAGCAGAGGAAAAGAAGCAGTGAACTTGCCCTAGCCGGTTTGACTCAGCGGATAGAGCATCGGCCTGTGGACCCAAGGGTCCCAGGTTTGATTCTGGAGAAGGGCATATGCCTGGGTTGTGGGCTTGATCTCCAGTGGGGGCATGCAGGAGGCAGCCAATCAATGATTCTCTTCATCTTTGATATTTCTATCTCTTTCTCCTTCTCCCTTCCTCTCTGAAATCAATTAAAAAATATGTAAAAAAAAAAGAAGCAGTCAACTTGAAGAAAGTGAAGAGCATGTATACAAACTGAAGTACAAAGATAGAAACAGAGTGAAAAACAATGAACAGGTGGTCTGAGATCTCTGGGACAATATTAAATGGTGTTATGTTTGTGTCTTTGGAATCCTAGAAGGAGAAGAAAAGAGAATGGTGCACAAGAAATATTGGGGGGAGAAACCAAGATGGCGGCATAGGTAAACACCGGAGATTGCTGCCTCGCACAACCACTTCAAAAATAAAACTAAAAGACGGAACGGACATCACCCAGAACCACAGGAAGGCTGGCTGAGGGGAAATTCTACAACTAGAAGGAAAGAGAAAAGCATACCGAGACTCAGAGGAGGCGCAGTGCGGAAATTACAAAGGTGCGGAGGTGCGTGCGGAGCAGGCTGGCGGCTGAGGTGGCGGTTGTCTGATTCAATCTGGAGGGAGTCTCAGGCTCTGAGCTCCAGTTCCGGGCGAGTCTCTGGGGACCCAGACTCAAACGGGAGAAGAGGGACTGTCTGGCATTGGTTGGAACTTGAGGGCAGCTTTCTCTCCGAGGTTTGCAGCGGTTGCTGGGACTCTGAGAGGCAGAGCCTCTGGGGACGAAACTGAGAGCAGCCATAACTGCTCTCTCTGCCTCCCCTGTTGGTCCCCTGGGACCCGCCCTGCCCAAACCCTGCACAGAGGCATTTGAGGGATAGCCCTAGGCAAAGGCTAGATTAGCACCTCCCTAGAGGACAGAAGTTCTCCCACTGCAGACACAGCTGATTCTCATAGCCAGTTGGCCTGGAGGTCAAATCCCCCCAGTATTACCTACAACAATCAAGGCTTAACTACAACAAGACTGTGCACAAAGACCACTAGGGGGTGCACAAAGAAAGCATAAAAAATGCGGAGACAAAGAAACAGGACACAACTGACAGAAATGGAGGATACAGAGTTCAAAACCACACTTTTAAGGTCTCTCAAGAACTGTCTAGAAGCCACCGATAAACTTAGGAAGGCCCTCGAAAAGACTGGTGAGACCGCC